GGTCTGACCAAGCGGATCCGCACAGTTCTGATGGCTACAGCCCAGATGCGAGAGCATGAAAAAGATCCTGAAATGCTGCTGGACCTCCAGTACAGCCTGGCCCGGTCCTACGCCAGCACCCCTGAGCTGAGGCGGACCTGGTTGGACAGCATGGCCAGAGCGCACCTCAAAAATGGAGATTTGTCAGAGGTATGAACAGGAAGACTGTGAGTGATTCTGACGTCTGTGTCTGTCCCTTTGTTAGTAATTTTCTTTGTATTGTTACAGTCATGTGGATAGCGGTCTGTAGGAGAATAATGCGGACAGGCAGGTTATGTTGTTTGACCAGACATCTTTAATCACACATCAATCACATTCACGCTGTCTGGTACACAGACAATGCAGAATTAGTCCTGCAGGCCATGTTTTCCTTTCTCAGCTGCTGTTAAAGTTAATCTGAGATGCTGTCATTTCAAACCGGACACTGTAATATCTATAGTCCCAGCTCAACATGTATTTGAGTATTTTCAGCATTAAGTATTTTTATTGTTATTAAATGAAACTTTAAGCGTAGAAGTCCACTTACTTTTTGCCCCCTTTTCTTTTTTGTGTGTGTTTTTGGTGATGCTGCAGCAAAAGGTTATTGAGGGTGACTAAGAAACAAAACTGAATGCTGCATCCTCTGCCAAATGAAACTCAAATGAAAACTTTCATATTAATACCGTGAATACATCCAGTCCCGATGTTGTACGAGGAAACGTTTGGTCAGGATTAGATCATGGGAAAGCGAGTTCAAAGGTGAAGACTGATATAGAACTTGACCCTGGGTGGTGCAGCTGATGCGCTGTTAAGTGCAGGTCAAGTGTATTTATTTAGTTATTTAAAAGTTGATATTTATATAAGGACTTTTCTCAAAGGATTTCTCAAACTTTTCACTTTAAAGTGAGCCAGTTTTTTAATTTAAACACTCCAGAGGGATTGTAACATCAGATCTGTTTTTATCTCTGCCAACGAGGTTTTTGGTAGCGTTGTGTGCGTGTGTTCTGCACTTTGTAGGTGTGTGGACAGCGGTCAAATTAGCGATGCAGTTTAGCAGACATCTAGGTGTTCAAGGTCAGCTCAGTGATTTATTGATTTATTATTGATGTGAGGGTCAACATGATAATAATTCTATGTAGAGCTGCTATTATTTTTATTCACAACATATAGGCGTATAAATATCATGTTAGCTTATTGTGGCCTTGTTACATACATTACAGCAGCGGTCCCCAACCCCCGGGCCTCGGACCGGCTTGTGAACTTAGCATTAAAATCCTCTATAAAACATTCTCTGTGGCTTTAATGCAGTGTTTGCTGTTTACAGGATTCTCAAAAGATTTGCATGTAATAACCTGTGTATAAAATGATTGCACATGTACCCTATAGACCAGCGGTCCCCAACCCCGGGCCTCGGACCGGTACCGGTCCGTGAGTCGTTTGGTACTGGGCCGCGAGAGTTGAGGCTCAGGTGTGAAATGTATGGTTTTCGGGGTTTTTATTGGTTTTCAGCGTTATTTTGTTATTGTTTTTATTGTTAACTCGGTTTTCCTGGGTCTTTTCACGTGTGTTATGAATAAATTTAATTTTTTTCGGTACCGGTACTAGTTTTATTTTGTTGTATTTATCCACGACACCTTAAAGGCCGGTCCGTGAAAATATTGTCGGGCATAAACCGGTCCATGGCGCAAAAAAGGTTGGGGACCGCTGCATTACAGTATGGGGTGACACGGGGCGACCGTGGCTCAAGAGTTGGGAGTTCGCCTTGTAATTGGAAGGTTGCCGGTTCGAGCCCTGGCTCGGACAGTCTCAGTCGTTGTGTCCTTGGGCAAGACACTTCACCTACTGCCTACTGGTGTTGGCCAGAAGGGCCGAGGGCGCTTCTGTCAGTCTGCCCCAGGGCAGCTGTGGCTACAACTGTAGCTTGCTTTCACCAGTGTGTGACTGGGTGTGTAAAGTGCTTTGGGGTCCCTAGGCGGGACTAGTAAAAGCGCTATACAAATACAGGCCATTTACCATTTATAGTAACAGGTTATAACAGTTTAAATACACAACAAATTACCTTTATGTGCAGTGTTCCTGAATACTTTTTTTGTACTTGATGTTTATTACTAAATATTTAAATAATGAATTGAATGTACTATAGCCACACAAAAACTAATTACACTTCAAATGATGTCAAGTTTATCCACATGGGTTTCAACAGGACGAACATTTTTACTTACAATCAAATGGGTAAAGTGAAAAGAACTGCTGAGCTTTTCATCTACTGTCTATTCCACATCACGTCTCTTCCTGTGGAGAAACATATTGGGTTATGCTTCAGTAAAGGATAAGAGAAAGTCAAAAATGGCTTTCGTGCCTTAGAGCTATTTCACACAGTCTGAGAAGACAGTTTAGTTTCAGGGGTAGGTGTGGCTGTAGATATCTGCCTGAATGACTGAACACAAAAAGTCATTAAATGCAGCCTTGAAAATCATGTGTAATGATGTTATGTTGCTTGAAATATTATTGAGCAATTGCCAGCTGCATTCAAACAGTGTGCCCTGGTGTTAAAAAAGTTCTGTTCATGATGGTTTCTTCTTGTCTCCACAGGCTGCGATGTGTTATGTTCACGTGGCGGCGCTGGTTGCAGAATACCTGAACAGGAAAAGTAAGGTCCCCCGCGCTTCTATACACAAGAAATACTTTGATCCTTCTTGGCATTGTGTGCCTAGTGTAACTGATCTGCTAGCGACTCGTGAAGCAGCCTTTACTGTGGACCTCCTGGTGATATACTTGGCAGTTTGTTTGTGGCTCGCTGTTGTCACAATGTGCAAACACTCCACAGCACAGTGGAGTCGCAAAAGCAAATTCTCACAATGCCGTACGTTATTTTTTAGGGTATCTTTATCTTATGCAAAACTGGCTGTAAGTCTCTGTAATCCGCTAAACAAATGTGTGGTGGATATACTGACAGTTGGTAGACGACAAAGCTTATCTCTGAAAATTTGTTTAGGTTTTAGTCCAGCGGCAGCGGCATGTATAAACTGAAGCTACCTTCCATCAGGTAGATTAACTATCACCAGGCAGTTACAGCATGTTGGGAATCGAAGAATATCCACCTTTCATGTGTTTCATTTGGTTGTGGTTCACACCTATCTGGATTTTCGTGAGTTCTCAGTGTCACAATAACACCTGCCACACCTGCTGGGGGAATAAATAAATAAATAAATAGAAATGTGTTTTGTAGAAAATGTCCTAGTGGAGGTTGATGTGAAACATTTTTTGTTTTCCTCACTCATCTTTGCTGTTTGCTTACCAGAGTTGTTCCCCAGCGGCTTGGCAGCTTTCAAGAAAATCACCTTTAACATCGACGAGGAAGCTGCCATGAAGGAAGACGCCGGCATGCAGGATGTCTATTACACTGAGGTGTGGCACCTGTTCAGGAAAAATGCTTATTTAACATTTTCTGAAGATATAGAAATCGGCCCGACAACCCAGTTAAACAATCGTTTTACCTCAAATCAAACAAAAACAAAAATAAACGGCTTATTTGTCACTGAATTCTGTACTTGGATTTATGTTTCTCAAGCAAAGCATCAAAAATCTGTTTGGGCATCTCTACTGTAGAGTGTTTGTTAAAGAGGACCCACTGTGCTCAACACAAATTTGGATTCAACCCTTTCATGCATGAATTATGACGACCTCAATCAGGATTTCTTTTCTTAAGTATTTTTATTCGTCTTTAGGCATGAAAAAAATGTTTCAAAGAGTTTTTTACATGTCCACTTATACATGTCCACTGGCTGACCAGTGGGTTGCTGGGTATGGAGTTCTTATGATACACGTCGGGTTACAGGTAGAAATCCAGTAGAATGATGTTCCCGCTGATTTAAGTAAAACCAACATACATGTGTAGATTCATTCCAAATGGTTCTCATGTTTCCAATCTCGTAATATCCGGTCGTTAAGTGATGACGTGACGAATCCTACTTCCGGGCCTA